GTAGGACACTACTACATCAAAAACTAAATTATATGGTATTGGTTTTCTTGGGCAATAAAGGTACAGATATTTTAGATTAGAAGTTGGTGACCCTTGTTATACCATTGCAAAATGATTGGTATAACTATTGTGATAACTTGGAAGACAGACCATGTTCTTATGGAGCCCATAGTTAGAGATGAAATGGCTAGAAAGAGCTAGAATGTTAGTATGTGTTGATGTTCTCTGTTGTGTTTGGCAACATATAACAAGAAAAAGATAAGCCCAAGAAAGAACTGACCAAATTGCAAGCAGATAAAGAAAAACGAAAGTATCTGGTAATTTAAGACCTTATAAGATTGAAAAAGCCAACTGCTTCTATATCTCTAGACAGCAGAATATATGGCTAGTGCTGTTCAAAGGACTCCCAATAACTACCCAACTCCTTCCAAAAGTAGGGACCCAGCCCTAAGGCAAAACCCAGACTAAGAATGTTGCCTTCCTACCCAAGCCTGTTGTTTTATATGGCCTCAAAGTAACTGCCATCAAGATGAGAAAACAAACAAAGCAGCTTAATATCTATTGATATGTCCAGAAAAGGACTTTGAGTGTAGTTACAGATACGTGGAACTACCTGCAAGCAAAAAGAGCAGAAGCCTACCAAATTTTTGAGAAAATGCAAAGCAACTATAAGCCTAGCCAGAAAAAGCTTGTGTATTTTTCACACTTAAAATACCTCCCCTAAGGAAGGCGAAGTCTCCAACACATCACTTTGATGTGACCCGTGACCATGCAGAATAGACAATAAGGAGAACTTCTCAGAGGGCCAGGGGACTCAGAAGAGAACAGGCAAAGAGTTACTCCTTGAGAGAGAAAATGGAGTTGCCAATGGGCTAAGCCAGGAAATCACTCCACTTTCAGGGCAGAGACCCTTGGCAATCCCTGCCTCACAGCATTTATTTGCTGTGGTTCAGGGACTACCATTTATATTGCCCAAATTCCCTTTTCTGAATAGAAGCCTCTATTTCCCTTCTTCTGGTATTACGCCTCCATTGCTTATTGTTGGCAGGGAGGTCAGATAACTTGATGTTTATAGGTGTCTGTGATGAGGAATCAAATCTGGACCGAACGGAGAGAACTGAATATCAATAAAGATTCTCGACTTTTGAACTAGATGATGGGGTTCTGGTCTGTGTTCTTTAGGGAGCGAGTGAGTACATTCTGTGTGGGAAGAAGGGAGCCTGGAGACATTTGGATGGTCAGAGGGGCAAACTTGGCGTAGAAGCTGCTAGTCAGTTCTCCCATCCTTCCACAGTAATAGAACTGGACTAAGTTTCCCAGCCTGCCTTGCAATTACAACACATCTAAATTCTCAACAACGTCATGTGAGCAGAAGTGATGGATGCCACTTCCAGATCTGGGACTTCAGACCTTCATGTTCTCTTCCCCTTGTGTGCCAGTTGGAACCCACAGGTGATGGCAACCCTGCTTCGATCAGACAGATGACGGCATGGCCTAGGAGGTGGCAGAACAACAACTTGGAAAAAACCTAAATGATCTCAAGGAGAAAAGCTGCCCAGTCAATCTGGACTGTTCATGTTGACATTTTTCCCTATGAGAAAAAAAAAATACACTTCTTTGTCCACTTAAGTGTTAGGTCTTTTTGTTACAATGGTCTTACCATCACTAGTGTATATGGCTGATGTCAGAAATCCATCTCTTCTTATGCTCTGGACCTGTGAGGAAGTCTTGGGGAAAAATTTCTGCCTGTGTGTTTATACATGTCCACATGTTCAGTAAAAAAAAAAAAAGCTGGTTAAAGAAAAACTTTGAGGAGTGTGGTATAACAAAATATATATATTTAGTGTTCGTCCCTGATTCCTGACACAGAGCTTCTAAAACACTTGGAATTTCCTGAGTGATAGAAATGTCTTCTGTTGTTCGTAATTAGCACCTTCTGACTACACTTGAGTCTAAGCTAATGAGGTGACTCAGGGCAGGGCCACTGGATAGCCTCAGGATGGAGTTGGTTTGCTGGAAAGACCAAGCATGAGACGAGAAGGTGAGAACTTTCAGCCCCATTCCCCCGCCTCCACGGAGGGGAAGGGGATTTGAAGACTGGGTTATAAAAACTCTTCAGCAATGAAGTTTGGGGAGCTTTTGTGTTTGTGAACACACTGACGTGCTGGGAGGGAGGTGCACCCAGAGACGGCATGCAAGGTCCCTGCCATCGTCAACCCCATACCTTGCCCTACACACCTCTTCTATTTGGCTGTTCCTGAGTTGTATTCTTTTTTTTTTTTTCTGAGTTGTATTCTTTATAATAAACTGGTAAATGTAAATAAAGCATTTTCCTGATTTCTGTGAGTTGGTCTCGTGAATTATCAAATCTGTGGGGGATGCCATGGAAAGCTCCAAATTTACAGCTGTTTGGAGAGAATACAGGTGACCTTAGGACTTTTGAATGATGTCTGAAGCGGGGGGCAGTCATGTAGGACTGAGCCTTAACCTGCAGCGTCTGTGCTAACTCCAGATATTTAGTGTCAGAGTTGAATTCAATTCTTGGACATCTAGTTGGTGTCAGAGGACTGGAGAATTGGTGTGGAAACTCCCCACACATTTGGTGTCAGAAATGGTAGCCAAAAAAATGACATCACAGGAGCTTAAGCCTACATAGGGTGCGGAGTAATAGGCGCTGACCCTAACACTTTGCTTTACATAAACCCTGCAGCTTTGCCTCTGCGCTCTCCGAACTCCTGCAGCTCATCAAAGGCAGCACCAACTTCAGACACCACTGGACTGCCTGGGGGGGCAAGGACCTCTAGGCTGCTACAGTGGCAACCTAAGAAAATGTTACATTGGACATTTCTAGCCTCAGAAGTGTGGCTCAGAACAGTAAACGCAAGTGACTGTACATTCTACAGAGAGATACCAGACCATCTCATGGAACCTGCTAGCAGGTGTCCCCAAACTGATACCGTGACCCTTCACCCATTGTGGTGAAGGCCCATCACTCATGACCAGGCTATAGAAGAGAAGGTGGAGATTGATCAGGTGTGCAGAGAGAGCTGCTGGAGAGTCATGCATTTTCTGCCCCTTCCTCACTACTTGCCCCATTGCAACATAAGGAAGAATTTCAGGGTTCTGAGACAACACTTTAGGTTTCTGAGCCTGAATCAGGCCCAAGCTGAGGATAGCAGACATGTTAAACTGAATGAGAAACTGAAGTTTTGATTTATATTGGACTGGGCTTTTTTTTATTAAATTTTTTTCCAGCTTTACTGAGATATAATTGTGGACTGGGCTTTTTAATACCTAAAAATGAAACTATCTGTGACCAGGAAAACTCTAGGATCTGCCTGAGTTATTATCCAGGGGTGAAGCAAGAGACATAGCATGTTTGAAAAGCGATAGACAGAAAGAATCACTCAGCTTTTCTGCTTGTACTCGCCAAGTGCATTTCATTTGAAATGAAGTGTGGACCAGGTTTGCGTGTGAATTCCTGCCTGATTGGCTCTCATGCTTCCACTGTAGCCACGAATCACATGGAATGGCTGACATAGTACCCATTTTCAACAGCAATATCATCTGGCAGCAATAGCAAAAACAAAAAATGGATTTTTCTAGTTTTTCTCTCTTCAAGGCCAGAGCAATAAGAACCAAGCCCGTAAGCTGAGTAAGAAGAGGTTCTGGACTTGCTGTGGGAGGGAGAGATCTGAGGAGGGGAGAAAGATATTCCAGCACAGTAAGCATCCCCAAAACAGTTAATGTGAATATTCAAAGACAGCTTTCATGAAGCCATCTTTGGCCTTGAACTGCCTAACTCCACACTTCTTTTGTATGAGACATAAACTGACAACTTATTTGACTTAGTTCTGCTTGATATGATATCGGTCATATATTAAAGGCTTCTCTAAATAAGAAAAAGAAAAACAAGTTCGTAGAAAAATAGGCAAAGAAAAGCAGGCATTCACACAGGGAAGAAATACAAATGGTGAATAAGTATCTGAAAATATACTTAACCTCAGTAATAACTCAAGAAATATAAATATAAAAAGTGAAATACTGTTTCTTACTTAACAGGTTGGCAAGAATTTTAAATATGAATTATATCTGGTTGGAAAGGGTCTGGAGAAATATACTGCTATTCAACATCGATGGGACTATAACGTGGAAAATTCTTTTTGGAGGACAGTTTGGAAATAGCTATGAAAATTAAAACTGCATTTGTATATGAGCATGCACACATGTCCATGCCTGGGTGTGTAAAAGTGTAGTATATAGAAAAAGGCCTGGAAGGATATATAATAAGCTTAACACTATTTCTATGTCTCAGGAGAGGATGGGCAGTGGAATGGAAGAAGGGCATTAATGGACATTCACTTTTTACACCAGGACTTAAAATTTGTTATTTTTGTAATTAACATTTTTCAATGAAAAATTAGACACACTAGCTTTACAAAGATTAAACAGATATACAAAATATTTTAATTGATTTATTTCTCTTTCAAATAGATTATTGGGTATCGAGCAGGCATAGTCTACTCAAATTTGAGTAAACTTTGGCACACTGAACCCTGCCTTGTTATAGACAGGTGGTTTAGTGTTTCATACACTGGTGAAGAGGGCTTCCTTAGCTGTGAGTGTAGGGTGATATTTTACATCCCCAGGCAGTACTGAATAAGGCTTGTTTTAAGTGATTAAAGATTAAAAATACAATCTTAGGGAAAGTATTCTGAAGTAAAGGTTAGAGAGATGTGCATTTTTGTTAAAAAAATAATGAATTCTATTATTGGTTTTTATCTTTTCTTTTTGGCAGAGACTGCGTTCAGTTTTTAAGCATGTGTGCCAACGAAATGACCTTCTGCCAACCCAAATGAATGTACTTGTTCATTTTCAGATTAGAATTCATTCCAAATAAGAGCAAGTCTTCCAAGAAATATATATATATTTTTTTTAATCTCAAATATTTAAGCAAAAAAAAAAACAAGGTCATTTAAAAGATAAGGAGACATTCTTACTTGGTCCTCAAAAGATAGAGCCTGGGCAACATCTCTGGGAAATCCATCGATAACAATGCCCAATTCCTCAGGCATTTGCATCAATTTTTGTTTTATCTCTGTAATTGTTGTTTCCTTTTTTAAGAAAAAAGATGAAAAACCACAGTTAAACTTATACTCACAAGTATAAAAATCTTTGCAGAATAGAAGCAAATTATACAACAGTACCTGAGGGGCCAATTCTCCAGTGGTAATTATTTTGGCAATAAGACTCCATTTCCTATTGCTGCTGGCACTGTGGATCTTCTTCCTTAATAATTCTCCCACAGAAATGTATTGAAATCCATAACGTTCAGCGATTTTCAAACTCTGAGTACCCTTTCCACTTCCTGGACCACCTATCATTTAGAACAGGCAAAATTGGGACCTTCTGATACAATAAGAAACACCCTTTCATACAACTATTATCTTCATCTTGAGATGCAGAGTCTAGACCAGTACCAGGGCAGAAACCATTCTACTTGTGGCATCTCAGTGCTACCTCTGAATGCAGAGAAGGTGTAGATTTAGCCGAGGGAAGGGTAGAATTGTCGTGATTGATTGTATTAGATGAAAGAGACATTTTTTCCCTTACCGATTTTAGTAAACTACTAGTTTTAAAAATTGAATAATGCAGTTGAAAGAAAGCGCTTCCGTTTTTCTGTGTAAACTCTAATACTTTTATCCTCTGTAATCAAAGAAGAATCTATGATATACAAAAAACAATGACTGCAATGGCAGAAATGTGTTACATCCGAACAAAGAGTTAATGTGCAGTTTCGTGAAACGTAAAAATTAGTTTTAACCAAAGCCACACCAATATTGACATGGCTTATTTAAATCTTTCTTTGAATTGTCTGTTCATCCATCTCCTTGCCTTATATCCTTTAAAATTCAAAAGAAGTTTTATGCAGTAAATACGCAGAGTGAATGGAAGAGATCTTTAAGGTAGAACAATTTCATAGAACTCATGATAGTTTTGATTTTGTGATACATTAGCATGAAATAATCAATATTTTGCAACATAAATCAATACCAATAATCAGTAACTGCCATTTATTTTTTAAAAGCATAAGCACTAAAAAATCATAAAATGTATGTCTCAGATTTTATTTCCAAATCATATTACATTATTTTAGTAAATTTATATTTCTAGACAACCTAGACTAACTGGAATCTAAAGTCTGAGCAAATTTCAAAATAAAGCACATAACAATCATCCCAGTCTGATTTGTTATTTGTTGGCAATTATAAAAATAAAATATTTTAAAATACTTAATCATAAATTATTGACTGTAGAAAAAATATTTTAAAAAGTCAATGATAATAAGTAATGAATTGTTTTTGGTGCTAGTCACTGAAACATAATTATAATTGGTTAAGCAATATTAAAAATAAAAATTCAATAGAAAAGTGAGTTGATGTTCTCTCTACTAATTCAATTTATCAAGTTTTTTGGGTGGTAGCAATCATTTTACATACCATTATTTAGTATATTTTAAGAAATTCTTGGTGCAAATAACATAAGCAAAAAAGAATGGTGTTTGCTTCGCTTTGTTCTGGATTTTGTAAGAAGAGTTCTGAGTGAGTGAACTTGGTTGGCTAGGGGTTATTTCCTCTTTAAAAATTTTAATGTGCATAATTCTAAGATCAACTAGTATACTGAGACCCTTTCCTTAACCTCAATCCCAAATAATGATCCTAATAAAACTGGTTTTTGCCTTTTCATTGCCTTATTAAACTTATGATAGAAATTTGTTTACATTTTTGACATTGTCTTTCTAAGAAACTCTAAATCCAACCCTATTAGACTTACCATTATAAATTACTACTGTATTAAATTCATTACTTCACAAATAAAAAGTTTTGGTTCCAAGTAGCTGCTCTTGGCCTATTAAGCCATGGGCAAACCATGGACTGGCTTGAAGACAAATAATTACATGATCAATGCCATCAACAAATTCAAACTAATTTGATCCCCGAAGAATGAAAGTTATCTTTCATATTTTCACACCTGATCTGACAAATCATCAAAATAAGAGAACATATTGAATTTTTAAAAATTCAGACATGCTAAGAAAGTTATGGCACCTTCAAGGAAAAACATTTTTTTGTCAATTAATGGAGGCATTAGCAGACAACAAAAAAATACGATTAGCACAATTGACAGAGAAGAGCATTAATTTATTGGATGAGTTTGATTACCGGAGCTTCCTAACAAACTAATCTTACTTTCTTCTCCCTGAAACCAGAGTAAGTTTAATTTTGCTATATTTATTTAATTCTACTACTTATAAATATTAGGATCCATCTAACTGTTAGATTTTATGATTATGCTAACATAAGAGAGATTCATTAATATCTGTGCCAAGAAGGTTACCTTTAAAAAAAAAAATCTGTATTGCCAGAAGGGAAATTTTGCTTATTTGGATGTGGATATCTGTACCTCTCCCACTCTTTTTCAGGTTGGAACTAATAAAAATTTGTAAGGTTCAGGTACAATTATTTTATAATTCCTCAAAAGTCATAAAATTGTCTCAATTTTCTCAGATAACCTCAGATTCACTTTTTCTGTTCTTCTCTTATCTCAGTCCTCTAAAAGTTATTTACACTCATTGGTTCTGTATCATTCTTGTAATACATAAAATGTTACAACACACAGTGTAAGTCTAAAACCAAAATCACACCCTTGGGAAGCAAGCTGATTTTACTGAGTAAAAAAGAACTGTGAAGTGTAGGAGATTTAAGCATTTATATCTTCTCCACAGATCTTAGTTTACTGAAATAGTTTAATCATTTTCATATAAAATTCACAATGCACAAAAAGTTCACATATATGTGCTGTTTTATACAAGAACAACTTGTTTTACACCTTTTTCATGGACAATCAAGCCTTCATTTGTTTATCCTGATAATAATCACCAATATTGTACTAACAGCAAGAAAAACAAAAATGAAAGAATATCTCATTTTAAAAAGGTGAAATAATTTCCAATTATTCTCCACCTGTAGCTCCATTTTTTAATGAAGCAATTCCTTTTCTTCTAGGTAAGAACCCCAAATTTTTAAGCACACACACAAAAATTCCACCTTCAAGAATAGATAGAGATTTATGGCATAATAGTGGCTGCCATAAACCATGAGAATATTTTGACTTTTAGAAAGCTGATTTCTGTACTCTCGTCTTACAATTATTTTTCTATAATATAACAATTCAGGGATAAACATATGTGCAATTTTATTTTCATTACACTTATAGATGTACAAATATCCCTCTAGACTGGTGAACTTAAATTCTTGTTCTAGTTTGGTGTGCTTATTTGCATGTTTTTTCCCCAGTTGCCATCATCGTTACATCTTCTGGGAGCAGTACTTCTTTGTTTGGGGGCTGTATACATTTGGCCCTCGGTTAACAGTTACTGGCTAGAATAGCTTTAACATCTTATGCTAGATTTTTGCTTTTGGTCATCTTTGTGAAAGCTGAGTCAAATTGGAAAGTGAGACAATGACTACAAATGTTTCATGTTGACAGGACTCTTCAAAATTTTATAGCTTTTGAGGAAGTTAGAATTTGCAAAAGTGGTCAAAAATGCATTCTGCAAAATTACTTAAGACATTTTCAATATCTAATCCTTCTGAAATGGCATCAGACTGATATTTTCATATTCAACATAAGATTCATAGTGGCAATTTAAAAAATTAACTATTATCCTTGTTATTTTCATTAATACTCAGGTGTTACGTGCTGTGTAAAACACTATTCTATTAGATTTGCTTGTCTAATAACAACAAACTTAGATTTTATCATTGGTGCCAGTCTGTCATAAGGAAGATTCATTTACATGAATCTTTACCAACATATTATTATTGTTGTTTATTTTTTGCTCTGAAGTTAATAGTGAATAAAAATACAATTTGTTGAATTAAAGGGAAAAAACACATCATGTTTAGAAAACTTCTAATGGATTCAGCTATCTACGTTAAAAATTAAGCAAATAAAAACCATAAGATGGTAAATCTTCATTTATTACAGAGAATTTCTACGACATTGTAATGAGATTCTATAAAAGTGCAATAAGCATTAGATTATATAATTATAACAATATATGTTTTATTGAAAAGTATGCTAAAAATATTTCCATCTACTGTCTCTCAAGCTTTTGTTTCCATTGTTTGTCAATATCCAACTATTTGCAAATATGATGTATAGTTGACATAATTTTTGAAATGTAAATATATAAACAAAGTGAGCAACAGTATGAAAATTTTGCTTTCTGTCCTCGTACCTATGACAAGGATGATTTTTGGTCGAGGTCTAGTAGGATCAAAGACCTCATACTCCTCAATTAACTCCGCAGTCTCTGAGAGGTCTGTGTCACTTTCTATGGAGAATTGATGGATTGGAGGGAGCCGATCATACCGTCGATAAGGAAAGTTTGAATTTTCAGGCATTACTGCAAAAGAGTAAGATAACTTTGAAACGGAAAAAAAAGCACAATAAAACATTTTTTTGCACTTAACCAATTAGTTGAAGAAATTTAAAAATGAAATGAGTCTGATTTTTTTCAACTGGAAGAAGACTCCTGTCTCCTTAAGTCGGCAGCAAACTTTTCCTTAAAGGGCCAGATAATCAACATTGTGGGTTTTGAGGAACAGAGAGTCTCATACTCCACTTAGCCAGGAAAACAGTTGTAGACAATAAATACACAAATGGGGACTTCCCTGGTGGCTCAGTGGTTAAGGATCCGCCTTCCAAGGCGTGGTACACGGGTTCAAGCCCTGGTCGGGAGGATCCCACATGCCGCGGAGCAACTAGGCCCATGTGCCACAACTACTGAGCCTGCGCTCTAGAGCCCACGAGCGACAGCTACTGAGCCTGCGTGCCACAGCTACTGAAGCCCGTGCACCTAGAGCCCGTGCTCCACTGCAAGAGAAGCTGCCACAATGAGAAGCCTGAGCACCGCAATGAAGAATAGCCCCCGCTCACCCAACTAGAGAAAGCCCGCACGCAGCAACGAAGACCCAACATGGCCAAGAATTAAATCAATCAATCAATCAATAAACAAATAAACAAATGGATGTGCTTGTGTTCCAATTAAACTTTGTTTATAAAAAACAGGCAGTGAGGGGCTTCCCTGGTGGCGCAGTGGTTGAGAGTCCGCCTGCCGATGCAGGGGACACGGGCTCGTGCCCCGGTCCGGGAAGATCTCACATGCCGCAGAGCGGCTCGGCCCGTGAGCCATGGCCGCTGAGCCTGCGTCTCCAGAGCCTGTGCTCCGCAACGGGAGAGGCCACAGCAGTGAGAGGCCCGCGTACCGCAAAACAAAATAAAACAAAACAAAACAGGCAGTGAGCCAGACTTGGTCATGGGTCATAGTTTGCCAACCTCTGCCCTCGAGGAACCTTCTTAAGTACTGCCTAGTCTTGCTTGGTAGTTGGTATACATCCTAGTCACCGAAAATGGTGCTCCTAGAGTTTTGTAGCACACACCTTCACAACTTTCATAACCATATGCAGCTGCCGATCGAGGCAATGCTTATGCACAACGTGTTTCATTTATCCATAAATATAGATACGCAATCACTATGATCCAGGTGCTCTACTGTAGTCCAATGGAATGGCTTGGTGGCATAACGCACAAAAACTTAAGGTACTGTCACAAGACAGGTAAAGAGTAGCAAACAATTTCTATATTTGGAACATCTTTCAACATCGCTTAACTTTACATTCTCAATATTTATTATCTTTAATCTCCTTGATTTAAAAAGGTAACTATGAAGATTTAAATTTACATCTACAACAGCAATAAATCTTTGCTATTTATTGTCAGACATGTTAGTGTGTTGAGGATGGTTCAGTAGAAGAATACAATAAGAGGTAGTCCTGTCCCCACAGAGCTTACAGACTAGAGCTCACATGCTTATATCTGACAGCGGTATGCACACCAGGCAGGATAAGGGCTAAAATGAATGCCTCTTATGGTAAACACCATAGGAGTTCAATTGATGGGTAGATCCATTTGGGCAGGAGTGGTAGAAAAAGACTGCAAAAGAGGCAGGACTTGAACTTCGAAAGACTAGAACAGGTGATGAAAAGTGGAAAGTACTTCTCAGTTGGTAGAAACGAAACACAAAGACTCAGAATCTGAAATACAAATGACATGTTCAAATAGATCAGAGGACAGAGCCGGCAAGCCCAAGTGAGGCAGATGCTCTCTACCAGCTATTGCTGTTTGATTCATGGATCTTTCCTTCCTCATCCATGTGCTGGTATTCAAGGAGGCAAAGAGAAGGCCCAACTACCCAAAAAGCACCTGGCCTGCCATGAGTAATGTGGCTAAGCAGATTACTGGATTTTAGCACGGCAAAATACTCACATTTCCCTGGAGATCAGGTAGAACTTTCCATTCTCTGCTGATACAATAAATGAGGTCATTGACTACTGACTCATGGAACTCACTTTAATTCCACGAAAAGAGTGAAGTAGTCTACAGATGACAGTGGATATTTTTTTTTTTTAATTTTATTTATTTTTGGCTGTGTTGGGTCTTCGTTGCTGTGTGCAGGCTTTCTCTAGTTGTGGCGAGCAGAGGTTACTCTTCACTGCAGTGTGCAGGCTTCTCACTGCAGTGGCTTCTCCTGTTGTGGAGCATGGGCTCTAGGCGCCCGGGCTTAGTAGTTGTGGCACGTGGGCTCAGTAGTTGCGGCACGTGGGCTCTAGAGCGCAGGCTCGGTAGTTGTGGTGCACGGGCTTAGCTGCTCCACAGCATGTGGGATCTTCTTGGACCAGGGATTGAACCGGTGTTCCCTGCATTGGCAGGCGGATTCTTATCCACTGCATCACCAGGGAAGTCCCGACAGTGGGTATTCTTTAGAAAATTCTGGGAAGAGCTATGTCAGGAAAGGCACTAACAACATTATCCAGTTCTGCCTTGAAATTGAACTGCTTCACCCAATGCAGGGCAAAACTCTAAGCATTATCATTGATTACCTTCTTCCCTCACTCTTCATATCTATTCCCATAGGCTTCTCTCCAAAGCATATCCCAAATGCACAAGTTTTTCTCCATCTCCACTACCACAACTCATCCCCAAGCCGCCATCATTTATCTGGACTACTGTAGACTCTACGAGTTGCTTGCTTCTACACCACAGTTCATTGCTTGAAATGTTCTTTCCTTGTTGAGCCCATGGCTGACTGCTTCTTGTCATTCACACCTCAGCTTAAATGTCACCTCCTATAAGAGGACTTTACTGACCTTTTAATCTAGGGTAGCCAGCCAGTTAATTTCAAGGACATCACCCCTTATAATAATGTTCTGCACAGCACCTACCACTTCACCATTGTTTGTCCTCTCCCATTAGAATAAGTTCTATAACAGCAGGGACCTTTCCTATCTGGAACTTTGTATCCCTGGGAGCTAGAACTATGCTTGGCACAAAGTTAGTGTCCAATAAATACTTGCTGAACCAATAACAAAGAGAACAATCTTGCTGAAGTAGATGGTGCCCATGGAGAAAAGCCAGAAGATGGGTAGGTAGAGTGTGGCCACAACGTGGAGGGCCTTGATCACCAGGGTAAAGGGTTTAGCTTTAATCTGGTAGAAAGCCAGTGGAGGTTTCTGGTGGGTAGAGAAATAACATGATGAAATATGAAATATATTTTTTAGGAAAATTAACCTGGTGGTGGTTAGAATGGATTTGAGTAGGGAGAAACTAGGAGCAGAAAGGGTAGCAGCTAGGAGGCTGTTAAAGTAGTTCACAGGTAAGAGGTGAGGGCTTAGACTAGAGGGGAAGTAGGGGAAATGGAAATGAATGGTTGGATATGGAGGACATGATTCGGATTCAGATATGAGAGATGACAGAAGATGACAGCTCAAAAACAATTGCCAGGGGCTTCCCTGGTGGCGCAGTGGTTGAGAGTCCGCCTGCTGATGCAGGGGACATGGGTTCGTGCCCCAGTCCGGGAAGATCACACATGCCGCGGAGCGGCTGGGCCCGTGAGCCATGGCCGCTGAGCCTGCGCGTCCGGAGCCTGTGCTCCACAACTGGAGAGGCCACAACAGTGAGAGGCCCGCATACCGCAAAAAAAAACCCCAAAAAACAAAAAACAATTGCCAGGTGTCAAGTCTAAAACAATAAGGAACATATTGCATTTCATTCAGTATCTTTCTGCCCTGTCTTTTATGCTCCAGAAATACTGGGCTTCTCTCCTTCCTGTCTTTATCCTGGCTTCTTCCTCTATGTCAGAAATCTCTGTTCTCTGTTCCCTAGTATACTCTCAATCTCCTCCATCCTTCTCTAGTTGACACCTACTCACCTCTCCGTCTCTTAGTATTAGCATATCACTTCTTCCAGGAAGCCTACCCTGAACCCTGGCTTAGGTTGGATCCATCTCTCTGTTAATATGGTTAGTTCTATAGCATATGGTATTTTCTATAGCATCCATTGTGCTTCTAATTATATTTTTAACACCTGACTTCATCACTAGACTATAAGGGCAGGTGCCATGTTTGTTCATGAGGGCAGGTGCCATGTTTGTTATTTTTTGGTGGTTACATTCTTGGTCTTAAAAGAGTGTCTGACACATAGTAGTACTCAGTAAGTGGAGGAGGGCTGGTTTTGAAGCAAATATGATATGTTTGGTTTTGGACATGTTGAGTAAAGCTGACAACAAGATATTCCAGAAGAAAAGCTCTATGGACAGTTGGAGTTATGGGACTAAAACTCTTATTTGTGAGTAATTATTTGTTCAATTGTATACAAACGGTAGAAAAAAATGGATGCTCACCTCATATTTACGGTACAATGCTTTAAAGAACTGTCAGCTAATAATTTATCCTTGCTTTTATCATATTTTTACTTAGGAAAGTAATTTGCTTAAAAATTATTAAAATGTTCTATTTCACGGAATAATTTTTCATAATTATATATTAGCATGGTTATGTCAATATTTCAGCAAAAAAATGCATGAATCACTTTCTGTTTCTAGACATAATAATAGTGCTTACAGTTACAGGGAAGTTAGTAATTTTGTTGATTTTAATAAGCTATTCTGTAAATCATAGTGAAAAACCTACAAAGCACACACGTGCAAAGCATTTCATAAAATAATATTTTATTATTATAGGATTAATCAGTTTAGAAACCATTTTCTGTCTTTTAGCCTAAGTTCCAGATATTAAACAGTGTGATACAACATTCTTGTCACCATAGTATGTGAAAGGTTTTATATGATGATTAATTAAAAGATCTATGAGTTGGAATTCTGGTAAAGTACTAGCAGATATGGAAATTCTAAAATTAACTAGTGATTTCAGTTCTAATGAAAGTTAAATCTACATTTTCCATTCCTATTTTAGCCTATCCTGCTAGATCAAGAGTTCCAAACTGGTCATCTGTGGGGCCAATGTAGCCTCATAGATGTGCTTTGTTCAGCTAGACATTTTTCCAGAATTTGTGCTTGACTCCCTTTAGACAATGATTGTTCACTCTAGTTCTGTTCTCTAGTTTGACCACAGTCTCCACCATTCTCTGTTACATACTTGGCCTGCCTGGCTTCTACATATAATCAAGTCAAGTAACAGTATAAAACAGAAGCATTCAAATTTCATTTTGTTACAAAACGATCACTTTATATACCAGCTTTTCGACTAAGTGAATGTCACATCCTCTTAGACTTAAATTTAAGAACATAAAAATATCTTAGACTAAATCCAGTAATACCTAAGGTTTGTTAGTGCTTTAAGGTTTAAAAAGAAACTCCCCATATTTATGTCACTTGATTTAACAAGGGCCTAGGGCATGTATTTAACATTGAGCCAGATTCTAACATATGATGACACCCTGGGAAGGAAGTTAGCCCTTTTGGGAAGGTGTATGAACCCTTCAAGCTCACAAAAATATCATTTTGTTCACTTAAGCAGTAATTTACCAAGTGGTGTGCTGCAGTGGTAACTGCTTAAAGGTTCTCTCTTGAGCACCCAAGCCTAAATCACCTAGTGGTGACCCTGCATTGACAGGGAAGGAGTCTTCTCCTCTCTGGTGATGTTTCTGAGACAACGTCATTTCTGCTTTTTCTCCCTGCTTGTGTTTCTTAAAAATTAACACACTCTGACTTTTCCCCACATCATGTTCAAATAAAATCTAAGTGGGTCATGACTAAGTAAGATAAAACAAACTAAGATTTATTTCCCCCTTGTATTTATTGCAAATAGAATTGTCTGCGCTTCAAATTCTGTCTGTATAACTGAAACTTTTCGTGGTACAATTTTTGAGAATGGCTTAAATTTTGAAAATAGAATGATTTGGGCCACTGGGAAAGAATTAATTGGTTTCCTCTGATTGGAACTGATTTCATTTTGCACATACTATTGTACTTCTCAATTTTATCTGGAGCTCAAAAGGCTGCTTGGCTGATTTTGAACTAATTTTGATAAGCACATATTTCAGAAAGCTGGAATACCATGAATCTCCTCTAGTGAATTCCAGTTCTTAGTTCCAAACTATCCCTAAAATTGTTAAACAAGTTTATGCATCCCATTTCTTTTGTAGCATCCAAATGCCTAATCTCATGCATTGCATTCAGTAGCTGCTAAATAAATCCTTCTTGAGTTAACTAGTATAAACTTTACATGCATTTATGCAGATGCATTAATATGAACTCTGAATTTGGAAACACAGTAATAAGTTAAATCTCTTCTGAGCTAATCAAAAAATGTTGTAGTTATACAATAACTATCAATTCTCTCTGTCAACTACTCATTTATTTGGAAAAGTCTAATTTGCAATTTTAAGAAAAATTTAGTTTGCTAATGTAATTCATTTTACAAAATAACGAAGTCAGGACTTCCCTGGTGGCGCAGTGGTTAAGAATCCGCCTGCCGATGCAGGGGACAAGGATTCGAGCCCTAGTCCGGGAAGATCCCACATGCCACAGAGCAACTAAGCCCGTGCGCCACAACTACTGACTCCGTATGCCACAACTACTGAAGCCCCCGTGCCTAGAGCCCGTGTTCCACAACAAGAGAAACCACAGCAATGAGAAGTCCGTGCACCGCAATGAAGACCCAACGTAGCCAAAAATAAATTAATTAATTAATTAAGAAGAATAAACAAAATTAATGAAGTCAGTAAAAAATTTCATTGAGCTTACAAAATTACATACAACGGTATGTAATTTTGTTTGTCTTATCATGGAGGTGATTAGAATTAGTAGCAGAGACAGAATAGTCACATTCCAGGGCCAAATATCCTTTTAGGTGCTGGGAAATCTACTAAATTAAATCATTGCCTACAGTTTGTATGATAGGTTTTAAAGAAAATTGGTCTAAGTATAAACTGTCTATTATTCTACGAATACATTACCATTTCTTAGAAAGGATCTCCGTGACTGCCCTCCATTGAGCGGAGGTAAGGTCTTCTTCTCCTGGCTTACAAATGAATCCCACTTCACCTTGTCACAGCCGCCTAGTTCCTTTACTTTCTGTAAACAACTTTCCAAGTACTCTACTGGGTCTTCAGGCTTAGAACACATCAGTCCATTCAAAAGGCTCTGAAATACAACACAATATGCCCACAGAAAATAGGTTTTTAAACCACCTTTGTCAAAATAGTGTATATCCCATCTTTAAATTCTGGGTTGTTTTGATTCTTTGCATTTAAAAAAAATAAACAATTAGAGTTGAAATTATGCTCTGATTGAATAATTAAAATACCCCCTTAAATTCTTGACCAATTAGTTTTCAGCTCAGCATTCTCTGTCTTTTAAACAATTAAGGCCAACTATACTGTTTAAAATAGAAGAACCTTATCAATATGAGATAAAGTGCAGTGTGTAAAAATGTCATGATTTATCTCATTCCTACCCTCCTTAAAGGCTCCAAGCCTCAGTTTCAGAGGATTTTTTTAAGGATTAAAAAATGTAAATATTTTGTAAATATAATGTATTTTACATACATATAATGTATGTAAATATTTGTAAAGTACATATTAAGTGCCTGGAACATAGTAAATGATAAATGTTGGTGGTTGTAATCATCAGGGAGTCTCCCCTGAGCCCGCAGGTTGGCTTGTGGACCCAACAACCTTCCTTGGTGTTCATGATACCCAGAAAAGACTATCGTACCTGTCATTCATACTAAAACCACCAGTTTATGTGTTGGTCTCCCTCTTCTAACCTAGAAACTCTTCAACAATACAGTGTGGGTCTTATTTATTGCGCAATATCCAGCCTCTGACACTTTCCCTCACACATGGTAGGTACATACTGAACTGTTCTCTACTTAGAAAAAAAAAATTCACTCAAAACATAAAGACTGAGTTTAAATAAACACATTTGATATATAATAAATCACTACAATATCCATTGATATTACAGAGGAAAACCTGGTGTCTGATATTTCACAAGTATTAATTTCTAAAAATGCTATAGATTTGGAAATGCTGATTCCTGGGAACTGAACTGATGTGCAAAATATTTTCCTTTGGAGTATTTCATGGAAAAAGCATAGAGGATTATTATCACCATTATTAATGCACAAAACATACACCCTTTGAAAAGCTGACATCTTTCCTAAATACAGTATTTTATTTTCAAATTATTCTTGTGCAATTTGCTCTGAATGGTAGGCAGTTCCTACCAGGTACATTTGTTCTCTGAAATCCTAAATAACGTAGGTTAGAATGTTCAACCAGAGGAGTTCAACTGCAGAGGGAGCAGAAAAAACTAACCTGGGCATCCACACCCAGTTTGTATGTCAGGGTCTGTGCTACACACACACACAGATACACACACATTGCGTTTAACTCCTCGGATTCCTCCTACCTCAATGTAGCTAACTCTGTGGCAGGGCTTACTCTGTATCTTTGCATGCTTTAGCTTACCCAATGCACTTTCAGCCCTATGTGGCATTATTATCACCATTTATAGACTAGGAAATCCTGGCTCAGAGATGTTAGTGAGTTGATCTAGGTTACTCAGCTAGAAACTCGTAGGCCTAGGATTCCAAGTCAATGGTTTTGATTCCAAAACCCATATATTCCTCTCTCTACATCTTGCAAAAATATGATATGAGATTAAAGAAGTGCCAGATTTTCTGTGCCCCATACATAATCCAACTGCAATTCGAGTCACTCAAGATTAGGTTTTTAGTTTTTTGATCCCTATCATTGCCTAAAATGAGTGAACACACTCAAGGAAGATTTTATTTTTTACTGGAAAATATGGTTCCAGCCTCCCTAAACATATCTGACTCCACAAAGGGTACTGATTTTAGAAGGGGGAATGAGGTCCACTCCTTCATAGATAATTTAAATCCATTCTTCTAATAGTCAGCCAGAATCGGGGATCCAAAACAACCAGCAAACATTTTTTACTCGGTCTACTTGAGTCAACCCTTTGAGAACCTGAACAATCTAATTTGACTTGCCCCAGTATTCAAATTAATTGCCAAATCTTTGCTCTAAGGTACAGCGATACAAGATCAATATATACACCATAAGGTTAACTAGAGTTAAGAACTCATCAGGGGAAAGTGGTTTTTGTTTTAACATTTAATCTAAAAATGGAAACACATTTCAAACTTGAACCTACCAGAGATATCCCATTTAGCCCATATGATGTTTCAAGTCAGAAAGAAATCTGAAAAGGTCAGTTAGATACAGCTAGTTGCTTGACAATATGTAGATTCAATAATCAATCACTTGGTCTACAATGGTGTCTAGTATCCACAACTGTGCCCAATGTTTTGGGCTTGATAGATATCTAACTGCTAAACTTTGTATGCCTAGAAACTTTGTATACCTACATTGTGGTTTTGAGGGAGAAAATCTCCCTCAAACTTAAAGTGTTTGGTTTAAGTTTGGAAACTTAAAGCGTTTGGTTTAAGTTTGGAAACTTAAAGCATTTGGTTTTGCTGTCTACACTCATCACACGGAGAGCTGCCAAGTTTTACTTCTCTCTTGTGCTGTGCACAGCACAGATTCTTCTTACTGGAAGGATGGAGCTTTTGGAGGTCACCAGCAGTCTCCTTCCAGCTTCCCATTGCCTTGGATTGCATTTAAGTACACTGTATATCTGTATTTCACCTAAGCAAGTTGACTTCCCTTTCTGGGTGTGCACTATTTTAAAACATCCCATTCATATGCAGAAAAGCCAAGGAAAAGCATAGCACCTGAACAAAAATGCCTGCCATCACTTATTTGCACAGTGTAGATTTTCATACACAAGCTATCAAAATCCTCTGTGGTTACCAAGGGGGAAAAACAGTACTCACATTTATATAGAAAAAAAGGTGTACTATTAAAAAGCACTTTGCAATCAGATGGCCCTGCTGCAGATGTCTCTAATTACTCTTTTAGGGATGACATTGATCTCAATAGCAGTATTTATGACAAAACCCTGCAAGCTCTTCATCTCCATATTTAGTTTTTGAAAATTAAAAAAAAGAAAAGAAAAACTCTTAACGAGAATCCTGCATACCCCCAAGACCTGTCCTTATGCAACACCTCCTGATTATTTTCAAAGACTAGTAACACACTTGCTGGATTGGGGTTTCACATACTAGGCTTGTGCTCAGTGGGTGATTTACCTGGAAATCTTGTCTTCAGATGGACCTGAAACCGGTGGCTTATGGAGGTGAGAGGAAAATGGAGATCTGTAATTATGGCGGCCCATTTAAAGATAATTTGGGAAAACAGAGACAAGATTATTTTCCCAAGTAGTGTTATAAAATTCCTTTTAGCAGAACAAACCCCCCAAATAGGAGAACGAGCAACGCATAACTTTTAGTTTACTGTATCAGTCCACAGTCTATCACCTTTCAGAAATGGGGGAGCAGGTTTCAGAGGTCGCTCTATGAAGCTTGGCTCGCTTCCATTTTTTTTTTTTTTTTCCTTAACCTAAGTAAAAACACATAGGATTCAGGAACGTCCTAAAATTCAAATACGGAGAGAAGGAAAGGAAACAAGACGATCCGCGACGTAGCCTATGGTTTAGAACTAACCAAGGTTCTAGTTCATCCATCAAGCCTCCTCTCCCACATTCCCAAAGTGTTCCCCATTTCCCGGGTCTCTGGTGCAGATAATGCGGTCGGAAGACAGAGCAACAGGAGTCACGCCCGCCTCGCCACTCCCTCTCCGATTCGCCTTCTCTACATGGGTTGGTGAGGGCAGGCGAAAGCTATGGGCTGGGGAGGTGAGGAAGGAGAACCATCCCTTCCAAGGTGACGGGAAAACGTGCTCAGGAGCTCATTCACCGAAAGCGCAGAGCAGCGCTCGGTGAGAGCCACCCGGGAGGTAGCGCTGCACTTGATGGGTTTGGATTTGTTTTTTGCATTTTCATCCCTCTCCCCCAAGCTGTCCCTGTGGTGGACTGCTTTCGTCCTCACTTCCCCGTCAACGCGGGGGTCCCAACCCTCGGCGCGCGAAGGGACTCAGGCTCTCGATTCCCAGTTCCGAGTCCTTGCTGGCTGCTGGGCGCCAGCGTACCCACCTGGCCTGATCCTCGCCCCGGGAGAGCGCGGCCGGCCGCTGCCAGCAGCCCATCCTGGGGGTCCACATAGGAGGGATGCGCTGGGGGCAGCCTGCTTCCAGAACCCTGTTCGAAGACTGAAACTTGATTTTCGAGATGGAGGCTTCTGAGTCCAGCCTTCCGACAAGGACCCCGCAACCCGCCAGACAGGCAGCTACCCCTGGGCAAGCGGGCGAGCAAGCTTCCGCAAGCGCCTTCACTTCCGTGCCCCGCGTCGGCAAGGTGGGACGGCGAACGGCCTCTCACCCCGAGCCCCGGGGATGCCCTCCTCGACCCTCCCGTCCTCTCTGCCAGACCTAGCCCCCTACCTCGAAAAGCTGCGGGATTTCCCTCCGGGCCAGATACTCCTTGGCTTCGTTGGTGTTCATGGCTGTTCCGCGCGCGCCCTGGGGCGCAGGCGGGAGGCTCCCGGGCTGCGGCGATCAGGGCTGGGGCTGGCGGTGTCCGCACCGAGCACCGCGCAGCCCTCGCTCTCACACGCAAATACGCGCTCGGCTCTGCCTACCCAGGCCGGGCCCCCCTCCGCCTCTCCGTGGCGACTGTGGTCTCAGAGCTCCCACCGCCCCCTCCTCGGTGCTGGTCCCCACGCCGGAGCTGCGGGCTCGGAGCCGCGGCTTCCCGGGCTCTAGGCTGCGCGGCCGCCAGCGGAGGGGCGGAGGGGGCGGAGGGAACGGAGGAAGGAGAACAGCGCGGCGAACGCCAGGCAGCAGCCCGCCCGCCTGCTTGTCCTGCTCGGCGCGCCGCGCTCTGAGCCTCCCGAACCCGGTATGCGGGCGGCGACGGCGGCGGCCAGTCACGCTGCTCGAGCGGAGCGTGGCGCGGGGGTGGGGAAGGGTGCGCGCGGGGGGCTTGCAGTCACGCCCCCCGTGTCACACCACTGCCTGGCGCGCTTCCCTGCGCGCGCCGCCCCCGGAACGCAGCAACCTGGGACCAGGTGGCCAAAGGAACAGAGTCGGGGTCTGTAGCAATGTGCGACCCTTTCACCTCTCCCGACCCCCCCCCCCCACGAGTTACTCGTGCATGCCCGAGGAGCTCCCGGAAGAAACCTAATTGTCACAGAATTTATCATTTATTCCTAAGGTTACCGGTCCTTCATAACAGGGAGCTGGGAGTAAGGAGAAAAGGGGATTGAGGGTGTTGACTCCATCCCCTTAAGATAATTTTTAGATCTTGAGTATTTCTATCCTTCAGGAACGTTTTGCTAGCTGGTCTCGAATTTTTTTCCCTGTTAGTGTCACAAATCCTTACAGATTTCAGAATAAGGCCTTACAGTGAGGCTGAAATCTTCCCTAACAGAAGGATTAGTAAGTAATCAACTAGTTAATTATGTCTGTAGAGAGGAATGGGAAGGTGGAGGCGAGAAGTGGGTGGTGGTTGAGAGCCGGAGACGGCTTAAACTGGAAACATGCTTGGTAGGTGACTGGGCGCCACCGTTAATCCGATCAGAGGAGTGTGCTGTTGGTGGACCATGGGCCGTTGGAGCACCCTGGGGTGGATATGGGTTGATGTGATAAAGCAGCGTTACGGGTCAAGTATCTTCCCATTTCCCCCATTATGATGTCTTTTCATTGCCTGCTTGAAAATGGTCCATGCCACCCTGGGAACATGACCTCTAATTCCGTACAAGACCCAACACGTGGGAGGGCATGTCAGAGAAAGGAGGCTCTTGCCATCGGGGATCAGGCCAGGGAGAGAGGCAACACCGCCACTGCTTCCAGGAACCAGTGTCTGGGTGTCCATTTCAAGTTCATCTTTTGCAGATCTTTTCTTGGTTCTATTTCTTGTCACAGTAAAGACTGCTACTCATGCCTTCACTATAGCTGCAGTTTTGTTTTATCCAGGGAGGGAACTTAAGAATTAATTGAGTTTTGTAAAGTAAATGAAGTTTTCTGAACACTTGTGAAACCATGTGTCATATGGTAGCCTTAAATGAGGCAGGTGTTCCATAGAAATTGGTTTCTGCCCTCAGAATATGCCACATCATTTATAGTTCCAGCTTCTGACGTTCTTTACCTTGTGTAAGAGCAGGTTTTGACAGTAGTGAAGCATTGTCTGTTCCCTGTGCAACGATGCTTGATAACTACCAGGATCCATGGCCTGTAAGCTTACTTTATGAGCAGGCACAGCTGAGGCAAAGCACCTAGGACTGAAGAGGCCACTTTCTACTGGACCTTTCAAGGTCACCCTTTACAGACAAGAATCTGGCAGAGTACAGCTCACATCTTCTCTCCTAGGGAGGAACGAATCCTGAATGGATATATGATTCTAAGTGCACTTTAGTGTAGTCAGGCAAGGATAACAACTTGCTTGTATAAAGAGAGTGGATAATGAAGACTACATTGCACTAAATATTCTAAATAGCCTGAAAAAACATAGTAGCTGGAGATATGGCAGATTTTCAGGTAGCCTCATACACTGACAATCAGTGCTCTTTGGTGTGTTCCAGATGTACGAAAGAAGTAAGTATTCACAATTACTTTTGCAAAGGGAGTTGTAGCCTGTTATGGAAGGGCTATATGGGGAAAGTGTAATGCTTAAAAGCCAGGCTGATTGTTTGGAAGAGAGGCAATAGAAAGGACAAGGAACAACAAATACATTCTTGCCATGGGAAAGCTGGCTCATCTCTCCCTGATATGAAATTCTAAGGGTGGGTAAATAAAGGGTTTCTTTGTTTACTTGGGGATACATCGTTGCAAGGAATCAAGATGCTTACTGCATACCTAGCGTCTCCAGGCAGAATCTCTTCTGCTCCCACATTGGGAGAGTGTGCTGCGTTATACAGCAGTGAATAAGACATACATAATTCCTCTGTCAAGGAATATACATTCTCCTGGAGAGTGCATGTAAGAAGTCCAGATGGACCATAAGCAAATAAAAATGCAGAAACAACATAAGATAGTGATAAATGAACAGCAGATAAATAATTAACCCCTCTCCCACCAAAGACATAAGTGAGAACATATCAGAGTGATAAATGTAATGATGAAAATCAAACAGGCTTAACTGTTGATTTGATGTAAAAGGGTGGAGTCCAGATTCTTTGCTGGAAGTAGCAGAGCAAGTGGGAATGGTGATAACCTTTGAGGTGATAGCTAGAACTTTCCAAAGTTCTTGAGGAGGAGCCTCTTGGTGGGAATGTTTCTCTGGCTCACTGCTGACACACAGGCTATGTCTCAGCAAAGGGCTGAACCTTGCTCTGTCTCTATTAAGCAGCTGTCTCAGAGTAGAGACCATTGACTGCATCCGCTTGAGAAGGCTCAAGGACTCTGCACCCAGGGCAGCAACTTCCCAAACCCCACAGAGATGGTTGGAAGCCATGCTTAAATGCTCGTTCATTCCTAACAGATATTTATGCCATTTATAATTTAAATAGGGCAAGTTTAACCGCAGAAAATTTTACTGATAAAGTGTCAAATATTTCTCATGTTGCAGTTTCTCACCCCAGGAGACGAGTCTAACGGGATCTACCACAGGCCCTGGTATAGGTGATAGTAATGATGTCATGACAAATTTGGCCATAATACAAGGTAAAAATTCATTGAGTGTTATGAGTCAGGCATTGTGACAAGCACTTTATAAAGTATATTGCATATACCATATTTAATTCTCAAATCAACCTGTGAGGTATGTATTACTTGCATTATGTAAATGAAATAACTGAGATTCAGAGAGCCTAATTCCAAGATTATACTAGTAGTTACTATCAGTCCAACTGCAAATCCCTATGCATCCTCATTCCTTAGAACTTCATCATCACCATGCCTTTCAATGTTACAAAGGCCTGCAACCTTCCATTCTTCCTTTCCTATTCCCTTCCTTCTTTTCTTTTTTTTTAGCAGATGTTATTTTGTATTTGAGGGGAAATGTGTTTCAAAACACAAGTACAACAACAAAACATGTATAAGAACAAGTTTATCTCTATAGATTTTCTAATTGTTTAACGTTCTTTTCTATTTGAAAGATTTTTCATGATTCAGAGGTTGAAAAGATAACACAACATTCCTATTTATTGAAATCTTGAGTGCTGAATTTCTCTCATTCTGCACAAAAACCCCCCAATATCTCCCTCCTAATTATTCTATTTCCCTCACTAATTGACAACCCACTGGGCTATTTGTATTTTCAGGGCCATTTGTAAATATTTTGTTTATCCAGAAAAAAATCTAAATACATAAGACTATCCATATTGTGTACATTGGCCTGATAAGTATACCCCTTATTTACAGGGTTTTTTTTAGAAGGTCTTTCTGAGGCTTTTACTTTTTTGTAAATGTGGAGTATACATACTGGTCTGTGAAATCTGGGGTAAATGCAGGATGAAATAATGATGTATAACACAACTCTTCAGCCAAAGCAGAATTTCCCTATGCTCTATTTCTTTTCTCCACACTGGCCGAGTAGCTGAGCCAGACACTTGGATTCTGGATCTCAAAGACCTCTAGGAATTTTTGGGTTAGTGGAGGTTAGAGGTAAGAGATTGAAAACTCTCCTACAATGTCTGAAAACTTTAGGAAAATTTCCAAGTATATAATTTATACACTAAGAATAGGAAAATCCTATATATTTATCTATTCATTAATATGTTCATTGATCAAACAATTATGAAATAACCTTGTATGATCCAGACCTGTGTCTAGAGCTACGAATACAAACAGCAAGACTAAAAGGTTCGCTGTCTAGTAGGGAGACATGGGCTTGTAGTAATTAAGCACAGGTAAACGTAATACTATGTTTTAATAATATGATAGAAGTAGATATGTGGAGGTAGGGGACACAAAGGTACATGACTCATATAAATATGTATACGGTAAAAAAAAAAGCACTTAGAACAGAACTCATACACACTACTGGGGGAATGTAAACTTGCACAACCACTTTAGAAAACTGGGAATAACTATTGAAGCTGATGTATTTTTATATTCACCAGAAGATATGTATTAGAATTTTCACAGAAGCACTATTTTAAATAGTCCTAAACTAAAATATACTCCAACGATCACCAACAAGTAGAACACATAAATTGTGTTAGATTCACAGCATGGAATACTATAAGCAATGAGGATCAGCAGTCTACAGCTACATGTAACAACATGGATGAGTCTCACAGGCATAATGTTGAGTAATCACCAGACACAAAATACCAGACACAGAATAATCACCAGACACAAAATACACAAGCTGTATGATTTCATTTATATAAAGAACAAAAACAGGCCAAAAAAATCTATGCTGTTAGAAATCAGGACAGTGGTTACCCATAGGAGAATGAAGTGACAGAGAGAGCTCAAGAAGGATTTAGGGGAAACTGCTCACCTTCTGCTCCTTGATTTGGGTGCAGGTTACACGGGTGTGCTCATCTTGTGAAAACGCATTCAGCTGTGCAAATAGAACGCGCACTTCTCTGTGTGTATATTAAACTTCAGTAAAGACATGTTGGAAAGTAAAAGATGGTGAAGTATGGGATTCAAACCCAAGACCATGTTAAATCCCATGCCCTCCTAACAGCTCCATGCTACTTTATCATTTAATAAGCAGATCAGAAGTGAATTTGCAATCCATGGCCCTTTGCTCGTGCCTTTATTATTGCACTTAGAGTCAAATTGCTGCACTCAACACTATGTTGTTTGTAAGTAATAATTTACTTACAGTTTAGTCTCTCTCACTCTAAGATTCTGAGCTTCTCATCAGTAGGACCATGTCCTAGAAATCTCTATTTTCTCAGTGCTTTGGACAATGTCTGGCTTAAA